CGCCGTGGAGGACGCTCTCGTACCAGGAGGCGCGGCAGCACCTGGCGCACCTGGCGCACTCCACCACGCTGCTGACCAAGCACGCCCAGCGCCACCACCACCGCCCCTCTGCGGCCCTCCAGCGCGCCAGGTGAGGCTCACCTGCAGCTCACCGTAGAGCACGCACTTGTAAGCTCACCAGCTTAGCGGGCCACTGACACACCAGCTCCCAGCTTAGCGGCCACTGACACACCAGCTCACCAGCTTAGCGGGCCACTGACACACCAGCTCACCAGCTTAGCGGGCCACTGACACCCATCTCACCGAGACAGCAGCTCACTGACACAGCAGCTCACCAGCCTAGCGGGCCACTGAAACACCATCTCACGACATAGCCTCACTGACAGAGCAGCTCACTGACACACCAGCCCACTGACACAACAGCTCACTGACACAGCAATTGACATGTAACGTTGCTGTGGCCGTGACGCGAGTTCCGCCTGCATTGTCTCTCGCACGAGGAGTCGGAGGCGTGCGGAGACCGGCGCCGCCCGTGCCGGTGGCCGCCGGCCCCACCGCCGCAGCGCGGTGACTCGCCGGACGCGGGACCGCGAGCGCACAATGGCGCCGCCGCAGCGCCGGCAGTGCCGCAGCGTGGCAGCGTGAGCAGCGCAGCAGCGATCCGTCGGAGCGCGCCGTACCGCCCGGCTCCTGGGCGCTGGCGCTCGGTCTCCCGCCGCCCACGACCACCGGCAGCAGCGGCGGGAGCATCGGCAGCGACGGCGAAAGCGACGACACGCGTCTCTGTAGAGAGGGGCGCGTCACCCGGAGAGGGAGCGGTGAGGGCGGCGAGGGCCGAGGGAGCGCCGCCGGGGTGGCGGCGGTGCCCCCCGGGGGGAGCAGTGCCGGCGGCCCGGCGGGGCTCGGGTCTTCCGACCCGACCTCCGACTCGGAGGGGGAGTCGCTCGCGTCTGGACGATCGGGACGGGAACGTTCGGAACGGGAAGAGGAGGAGGAACGGGGGCGCGGGGGGAGGGGGGACTCCCAGGGCACGCGCGTGGGCCCCTCGGCCACGGCGAGAGAGGGAACGCCGGGAGGAGGAAAGCTCCAACAGCGAAGAGGAACGTTTGGAAGAGGAATGCGTGGAGAGGGAATGTTTACATTGGAACGTTTAGAAAAGGAGCGTTTGCAGAGGGAAAGCTTGAAAGAGGAACAGAAGCGTTTGGAAAGGGAACGTTTGGAGAGGGATGAGGAGGAACAGGAGCGCGTGGCGAGGGGGGAACGCCCGGAGGGTACGCACGTGGGCCCGGCTCATCCACACCGAGAAAGGGAACGCCGGGAAGAGGATAGCTCGGGACCAGCGAAGAGGAACGTTTGGAAGAGGAATGTGTGGAGAGGGAATGTTTAACGTGGGAATGCTTAGAAAAGGAGCGTTTGCAGAGGGAAAGCCTGAAAGAGGAACAGAAGCGTTTGGAAAGGGAACGTTTGGAGAGGGAACGTTTGGAGAGGGATCGTTTTGGAGAGGGAACGTTTGGAACAAGAACACTTGAATAAAGAAGAGGAACGTTTGAACCAAGAACGCATGGAACAGGAATGTTTGGAGAGGGAACGCTTAGAAGAGGAAGAAGAACGTTTGGAATGGGAACGCTTAGAAGAAGAACGTTTGGAGCAGGAACGCTTCGAGGAAGAGAGACGTTTGGAGAGGGAACGCTTTGAAGAACAACGTTTGATCAAAGAACGTTTGGAGAGGGAACGCTTGAAAGAAGACGTTTGGAGAGGAACGCTTAGAGGAAGAGGACATTTGGAGAGGGAACGTGTGGAATTGGAACGTTTGGAGAGGGAACGCTTCGAGGAAAAGGAACGTGTGGAGAGGGAGCGTTTGGAATGGGAACGTGTGGAGAGGGAACGCTTAGAGGAAGAGGAACGTTTGGAGAAGGAACGCTTCGAGGAAGAGGAACGTGTGGAGAGGGAACGTGTGGAGAGGGAGTGTGTGGAGAGGGCGTGTGGAGAGGGAACGTGTGGAGAGGGAACGTTTGGAGAAGGAACGCTTTGAGGAAGAGGAACGTGTGGAGAAGGAGCGTGTGGAGAGGGAACGTGTGGAGAGGGAGCGTGTGGAGAGGGAACGTGTGGAGAGGGAGCGTGTGGAGAGGGAACGTGTGGAGAGGGAGAGTGTGGAGAGGGAGCGTGTGGAGAGGGAGCGTGTGGAGAAGGAGCGTGTGGAGAGGGAACGTGTGGAGAGGAAGAGGGAGCGGTGTTGGAGAGGGAGCGTGTGGAGAGGGAGGCGGTGTGGAAGGGAGCGTGTGGAGATGGGAGCGTGTGGAGCAGGGAGCTAGTGTGGAGAGGGAACGTGTGGAGAGGGAGCGTGTGGAGAGGGAGCGTGTGGAGAGGGACGTGTGGAGAGGGAACGTTTTGAAGAGGAACTTTTGGAGCTGGAAACTCTTAAAAGGGAGGGATCGCAGCTCGTGGTCTGATTTCAGTTCCAGGGAAGCTGGACCAAGATCGCAAAATCCGAACCGGAGGAGTCCAGCGACTCGGACTCGGATTCGGACCACGGGCGCCCGCGGTGGGCCCAGCAGCCCCCGGGCAGCCGGGACCGCGGGATGGGCCGGCGGTAGCGGCCATGTATGGCCAAGCCGTGGACGCACCGAGAGCAGCGACGACGACAACGACGATGACGACAATGACGATGACGAGCTGGAGCTTTGCTGCCCTGTGGCGGCGCCCGTGTCGGGGTCCAGCGCGGCCAACGGGCCCGGCTCTTTCCCGACACCCGCTCAGCTCCACCTGCTGCTCTCACCCCGCCTCTCCTCCTCCTCCTCCACCTCCTCCACCTCGTCGTCGCTGGCTTCGTTATCGCCGGTCGTGGCGGTCCGGGGTGCTCCGTCATCGCCGCCGCCGCCGCCGCCGGTGGAGGGTAACTCATTAACCGAAATGGGCGGAGGGGGCCCGGCAGTGCCGCCCCAGGGTCAGAGTCTCCCCGAACGAGAGACTCTGTCGTCGCCTAGCGGAGGCGGCGGGCACACGGGCGCTGCGGCGGTGACGGCGGCGGTGAACGTTCGAGTGCCAGAAGCGAGCGGCGGCGGTGGCACCGTGGCACGGGCCAAGGCGGACGGAATCGAGATGTCCAAGCTGAAAGGTAACGGCGCTCCGCTCGCCCGGTCTGCGTGTCGGGGTTCGCCGCGATTCGCTCGCCCTGCTGGCCCTCTCGGCATTTTGGCACCGCGAGCCGCTTGGTTTACGACACCACTAGAGCCGCCGCAATAAACCTCGCATTTTTGGAATTCATGCAAAGTGTGACCCTTGCCCGACGCCGGTAACAGCCGGGTGGTCGGTGGGCGCCTCGGTGTTCTGCCGCCGCAACTGGTGCAGCGACAGCGGCCGTAGCATGACAACGCAAGGGGCACAACGAAGAAAGTTTCCGATGAGCGCGCGCGTGCCACCAGCAGCGACGTGACAGAACGAACGCTGGTCAGTGCAGGCAGAGGCACGCAGAGACGGCGGAATGGAATTCCATTGAGAGGTGGAAAGAGGTTTGCGTGGATTACAGAATGCACATCTCGCCACGGTGGGATACAGGAGGTCGTGGGTTTCATCCCGATCCTGACGAAACCTGTATATTTGGAGTTTTCCTCTCTCTCCCCACGGTCGCGTGGATTTTTTGAGTTTTTCCTTCCACATTTAGAAGCATGCGTTTAGAGTATTTGGCTGCTATAAATTTCCACATGATAAGCCACTTCGTGGAGCTATCATTTGTGGCCAGGTCGCTTCTGAAAAGAGTTATATCGCTCAGTAGGCCTTACCTGGTAAAATAAAGAATAGCTTTTAGTTTAATGACATCATCCAAACTGTGAAGTGAGTGAGGCTTGGGCAGGATGCATCATGGCCAGAAGGCGGCACGATGATGGCCGCTGATCGAGACGAACGACGAAGTGGCAGCTGAGGGATGGAACGCGGAGTCCTAGGGGATGGCCACCCCTTGAGGAGATGGAGCGACGATGAGGTCGGCGTGTGGTGGCTGTGTGGATCGTTGCATCGCAGGATCGTATGATGTGGCGACTGCTTGGGGAGGCCTTCATCCAGCAGTGGATTGACCACGGGCTGATGACAATGATGACATCTTTATTGATTCACAATCATTGCGGCTGATGTGGCGGTGCTCGTGATGCTAGGCAGAGTCTCGGATTGGTGTTGGGCTCATTGCTGTACTGGATTTTACTTGCAGCGCTTTTGTCCTTGTAGTGACCCTTGGTCACTCTTGCAAAAGAGACTCACCCTGGTCTCTGTGATGTCCTCACCTCGATAAACAAAACAAACGTGAAGCCTGAAGTGACGGCACAACGTGCAGCGCGGATTGCAATCGTAGCAAACATCACACCACACGCGCACACTGGAGTGGGTGGCACGCGTCTCGTGACCATGGCCATAGAGGGCGGGTCATACTGGATGTGGTGTGCTGCACTTGGATATATGATGGCGCCTCCTCTTCCACCGGAACATTAACAAAGTTCTTCCCCACTTCTCACTCGCTCTGTCCGTGCTGCACCTCTTCCCTGCCTCATCCCCTAGCCCACGCCTCCTCCGAGTCCTGATCTTCATGCAGCCATGCACGGTCAGAGTGGTTCATTGTAATTGGTGTAGTTTAGCGCGTGCGCTACGAGCACTATCGCTCTCATAGCGCAGGCCGATCGTAGGAAAGGCGCTGCTGTGGTCTCGAAGCAGGCGGCGACGCTGCTGCTGCTGCTGCTGAGTGGGATCCCAACTGAGTGACTTGCGGTGTAATTTTCTAATGTGGCAAATTTTGGACCGTGACACCGGTGGCACAAAGTTGCCTGCTTGTTGCAAACGACGTCGCGGGATCTGTAACGTCCACTGTGAAGTGGATAGCGCGAAGTAGTGGTAGCTTACAGTTGATACGCACAGTAGCAGTCACAAACCACTGCAACAAGCGGCTAACACTGCACCGCTGGAGAATATCACCGCTTCAGCTTACCCATAGTTATAGCCCCGGGGTTGTAACACCACCCCCGGGGGTTATAACACCACCCCCGGGGTTGTAATACCACCCCCGGGGGTTTTAAACGCCACCACCCCCGGAGGTTGTAACACCACCCCGGGGGTTTTAACGCCACCGCCCGTGGGGGTTGTAACACCACCCCGGGGGTTTTAACGCCACCCCCGGGGGTTGTAACACCACCCCTGGGGGTTGTAACGCCACCCCCGGGGGTTCTAACGCCACCCCCGGGGTTGTAACACCACCCCCGTGGGGGTTGTAACACCACCCCCCGTGGGGGTTGTAACACCACCCCTCGTGGGGGTTGTAACACCACCCCTCGTGGGGGTTGTAACACCACCCCTCGTGGGGGTTGTAACACCACCCCTCGTGGGGGTTGTAACACCACCCCCGGGGGGGTTGTAACGCCACCCCCCGTGGGGGGTTGTAACACCACCCCCGGGGGGGTTGTAACACCACCCCTCGTGGGGGTTGTAACGCCACCCCCGTGGGGGTTGTAACACCACCCCCGTGGGGGTTGTAACACCACCCCTCGTGGGGGTTGTAACGCCACCCCCGTGGGGGTTGTAACACCACCCCTCGTGGGGGTTGTAACGCCACCCCCGTGGGGGTTGTAACACCACCCCCGTGGGGGTTGTAACACCACCCCTCGTGGGGGTTGTAACGCCACCCCCCGTGGGGGTTGTAACACCACCCCCCGTGGGGGTTGTAACGCAACCCCCCGTGGGGGTTGTAACACCACCCCCCGTGGGGGTTGTAACCACCCCCGTGGGGGTTGTAACACCACCCCCGTGGGGGTTGTAACACCACCCCTCGTGGGGGTTGTAACGCCACCCCCCCGTGGGGGTTGTAACACCACCCCTCGTGGGGGTTGTAACGCCACCCCCCGTGGGGGTTGGCGCCGCTACGCCGAAGGGTGGAGCAGTGGCTCGGTGATTTGCGCGCTGAACTCTGAACCCGGCGAGTAGAGTCCGGTTTGCGGTAAGAGCCACCGCCCTGTCGTAGGGTGAGCGGTGTAAGAGACGCCCCTCTCACTAAACCGCACTGACCAGCGCGGTGAAGTATGGTCAAAGATCGCCCGTGTCTGACACGGAGCCTGTGTTGGGGCCTTCACCCGGCAGCGGGGCAGCGTGGCTCCCTTTGTGAGCCGCCGTCGTGCGATTTGTCAGAATCAGAATATTTATAGTGGATGAATCTGATGAGCTATAAAGCTCTTTCACAACTGTCCCGTAGGAGGCGGGTCAGAATGTCACAACAATACAAAAACATGACAGGAGTGAAAAACACACGAAAAGTAAACAAAACATACACTTAAAACTAAACTATATTTTTTCTTACCAGCTAAAGCCCACTGAGGTATTAACTTATTTTCAGAGAAGCGACCTGGCTTACAAATGATAGCTCAACAAAGTTGCTTATCACGTGGAAATGTATGTCAGCCAAAATAATAATAAAAAAATCAATGCAAGTTTCTAAATGTGGAGGGAAAAACCGGAGGACCCGGAGAAGAAAATCCCACGCGACCGTGGGGAGAAGATGCAAATAGCAAATATTCAGGTGTCGGGATCGAACCTCCTACCTCCTATGTACCAGGCAAGGAAAATAACATCACACCACCGTGGCGCCCTTTAAATAATAAGTATATAAGTTCGCTGCCTCTGGTATGGATTGAAACAAACATAGATCTGGAGTACAATACAATTTGGCACAACATCGCTGTTGCGGCTCGAGAAACAAATGCAATCGGATTCTTCTCTGGAAAGGAATAAAGAGATGCAGTTTCTGGAGCTTCTCTTGGAGTTCAAGATTTCGCTCTGGCTGCTCTCCGTTGGTACCCCCTCAAGGGCAGTAACGTCCTTTGAGTATTTCAATCCTCCCTCCCTCCTCCATCTCCCTCATCTGCACCCCGAGCGATGGAACTCCCTCCCCCGACACCTTAACCCCCCACCCACCTCCCAACAAAACCACCTGGCCTCGCCTACAGCTCCCTCCTCTACCCTTGAGCAGAACCCTGCCCTAACCGTGCCCACCTCCCGAGCCATCTCGCTGCTCCCTCTTCCTGAACGCTCTCCCTAAACCTCTTGTTGTCGTATAGATGTCTCCCTTGTGAATTCTGAGATCTGTGGCGTTGCTGTTTTCGAAACATCACTGTTGTTGACACCTCTGTTGTTGCTGTCGTATTGTAGGCCTCGCTATCAGGAGCGGTCCGAGCGCGGGGCCCACGGTGGCCCCCAGGGCCCCGGCGCCATCTCTGCCGGGCCCCGTCACGTCCCTGCAGCTGCTGTCGCGACGGCTGCCGTCCCCGCTCTCCGTCGCTTCCGACGAGGACGAGGACGAGGACGGCCGCGGGAAACCACCTGAGTCCGCGGGGAGCGGCGGCAGCGAGGAGGCGGTGTCGCCCCGAGACAAATCCGACGAAATCCCGGAAGGAACCGGGCATGGGAGAGGTAGCCCCATGCCAGTGGAGGAAACCGATTGGGCCTGTGGATCCGGCGACGAAGGGGGGTCCCTGGAGGAGGGGCAGCGCGGGGAGGAGCACGACCCTTGCCGGCCGCCAAACGACGTCTGCGCCGCGGAGCCGAGCGGCGGCGACGCGGCGACGCCGATGCCCGGCCTCGACTCGCCGAGCGGTGGAGGGGCGAGGAGCCTCCCGCCCAGCCCCCCGCCCAGCCCCCCGCCCAGCCCCCCGCCCAGCCCCCCGCCCAGCCCTCCGCCCAGCCCCCTCCGAGCCCCCCTCTGCAGCGGCGCGAGTCCAACGGCTACTCCGATGCGTCGGCATCTCCGCCCAACGGCCGGGCGTCCCCTGCAGGGGAGGTCGAGCCGGAATCGCGCAGCCCCCCGCTCCCCCCACAAAGCCCCCCGCTCCCCCCACAAAGCCCCCCGCTCCCCCCACAAAGCCCCCCGCTCCTCCCACACAGCCCCCCGCGGTCACCTCCAGCGGTTCTCCCGCAGGAGCCTCTGTTCGGTACTCCGTCCCGCACTCCTCAAGGGCCCGCACCCAGCCCCCCACATTCACCACCGCCCAGCCTCTCTCGGGGCCTCCACGCAAGCCCCCCTCGGGGCTCGCCACCAGGCTCGCCCCCTCGCAGCCTCTCGCCGTTCACTGACCAGGATCTGGTCGCCGTGACGTCGACGCGACCGCAGGAGCGTTGGGAACGCGATGGCGCCGTGGTCCCCCGGGGCCCACCCACCATTTCCTCGTCACTTCCATCGTTACCGCGGTCACCGGGCCAACGCGTGGCTTCCTCGGGGAGCGACTCGTCCGGGGAGCAGGAGGTGCGGGTCCAGGAGAAGAAGCCACGGGCGTCCTCCCCTTTTAAAGAGGCGTCCGCTCCGGACGCAGTCATCCATGACGCGAGGCCCAGAGCCGGTGGCAGCCACAGCGGCGACGACGACGACGAAGTGGACTGGAAGCAGCGTGGGGCGAAGCCAGCTAGAGGGGGAGATGCCCCCCACTTGGCAGCCCTCCGGGGACGACCTGGACGGCGCAGGAGCCAGCAGCTCCGAGCGAGCGGCCCCCGGTGCTTCCTCGGCGCCGACCTCCGCTGCCCGCGGGGCTGACCCCGAGCGCCGCGGCCGATCTCCCCGAGACGCGGGGCGAGGGCGCGGACCCGGACTTCGAGTTGGAGGAAGCCGCCTACCGCCCGCAGTCGGTGTGGCAGAGGGTCCGCTCCTACGAGGTCCTCGGCGTCTCGGCGCCGCGCCGGCCCAGTGCCAAGGACGCCACCGCCGCATCCGCCGGTCGCGTCTGGCCGCCCAAGCGCCGCGACTCGATCGACGAGCCGGATGGCAGCGGCGGGAGCGCGGCGGGTGACTCAGTGGACTTGGGGCGTGGGTCCACCAGCCCGGCGTTGTCCCTCGACGAGGCGCGGGCCGGGGCGTGGCCGGCGCCGGTCGCTCGCCCGCACACCGGTGCCGGTGCCGGCCCCGCCGAGTCGGGCCGCAAAGATGGCCGAGAGTCGGAGGCCAAAATTGGAAACTACATCTTCCGGTCGGCAGGAAAACCGAAGCCGGACGGCACGGTGGCGTGGCCGCCCCGGGACGGCGACACGCTGGTGGTGCACGCACGGCCCGTCGTCATCGTCGAGAAGGAGGCGGCCGTGCGGGGTGCTGATGGCGACGGCCGTGCGGGCGGGAAGCAGAAGGTGGAAGTTGGCGGCGGGGAGAGAAGGGGTTTCACTGGGAGCCTCGGGTTCGACCACGGCGCCGCCACACGGGCCAAGAGCCTGCCCAGCTTGCTGGATGACGCCGACACCGGCCGGAGGCCCGCGCCAGAGACCGCCGTCCCGCAGAGATCTGCGGCGGGGCCCGGCAGCTTGGGCGACGGCAGGCGGGAGAGCTGGCGGTGGAGCGTGGCGGAAGGGGCCCTGACGCGGAGCTCCACCGTGGGACCCAGCAAGAACTGGCGGTGGAGCGGGGCGTACGACGTGGGACGGAGCAGCGGCGCTGAGGTGGAACCGAGCTGGTCCATGAGGTGAGCGCAAGCTGTCCAGCGGTGACCAGATCGGTCCCATGCTAACGGGGACCACCTGTTCCGAAAGTCTGGGTGACCTCACCGATTGACAGGCACTGGCTCAGATTTCGCCGATGTTGGTCGCGAGCGGTCGTCCGGCTCATAGGGCGGTGCACTACCCACTGCCCCAGTGCTCCCAATCACACATGGACAACACAAAACCCCCTGTCAAGGCTATGTAGGCGGTTGGGGCAAGTGCTGTGTGTTTACGTGCGTGTGTGTGTGTGCGTTAATTAGGGAGCTGTGGCGTGGTGGTTAGCATTCTGCGCTACGAAGCCGGTGATCCGAGTTCGAAAACTCTTCATGACTAACATCATTGACGATTATCTGAACCAGTCCCGAAATTCCCCAAGGGCAACTCGCCCTTAAAATCAGTACCTGATGCGATGTGTAAACGAGCACTTGGGGAGACAAAGGCGGCCGGGCGTGGTACTGGCCACCCACCCCCTCGTGTGCTGTGCCGGCTTCATAAGTGCTCGCTAACAGCACTTGCCGCAAAAGTCTGTTCAGGCTGTATGAGGGATCTTTGTTTTGTGGGGAGCGGTAGTGCAGTGGTCAGCACGCTGTGCTACGAACCCGACAACCAGAGTTAAATTCCTGCTCATGGCCAACACCACTGACGATTTTCTGAACCGATCCTGGACCTCCCCTAGGTGAACTCAGCCTCATAGGTTCTTGCTAACAGCACTTGCCCCAACAGTCTACGAAGGCTAAATGTTGTTGTTGTTGTGCCAGTCTGCTGGAGCTGGAGAGTTGTGCGCCACACGAGGGGCGCCGGGCACTCGTGACGTCGCTCGTCCCATGGGACCACGTGCAGCAGCTGATCGCACAGGCCGAGGAGTGCGGAGCCACTCAGGTGCCACCCCCGTGACCCCTATGACCCCCCCATGAACGCTCGTGACCCCCCCATGACCTCTGAGGAGTGGCATGCCCAATCGACACCACCCTGTCCCGGACAGTGACCCTGCGTGTTTGTGTCAGTCGGTGATGGTGCGGATGGGTGTGCGTGTCTTGGGGGAGCGGTGGTGCAGTGGTTAGCACACTGCGCTACGAATCCGGTGACCCGAATTCGATTCCCGCTCGCGACAAATAACAGTGTGAATATCTCAACGAGTCTTAGGCCTGCCCTAGGTCGACTCAACCTTAAATGAGTACCTGGCAAAGTATGTAAACTTCAGCAATGGGGCTGGGGAGACAAATGCGGCCGGGCGTTGTGCTGGCCAACCATCCCCTCGTGTGCCTTGCCGGCCTTCATTGGTGCTCGTGAAGAGCACTTGCCCCAACAGCCTGTTAAAGGCTATACGGGGAACCCTTGTATTTGTATGTATCTTATACCTGGTGTGCTGTGTAAATAGCAGCACTGGGGAGATAAAGGCGGGCAGGCATGGTGCTGGCCACCTACCTCCTCATGTTCACCTATGTATACACAGGTGGTGCATCTGTCAGTCATCTCCCGTATCCCCTGAGTCCCTCCCATGACCTGCCAGCAACGAGAGCCTTCCACACACGACGGCCTCAAAGTGCACCCAGCCTGGCACAAGCGCCATGGTGACATCACAGCCACTCATTGTCGAATGGTGGCTGTTGTTGAATGTAGTGTGTATTGTGAGTGTGGTGGTGGTTGTTGTCGTGTGTATTCTGAGTGTGGTGGTGGTGGTTGTAGTGTGTATTGTGAGTGTGGTGGTCGTTGTTGTAGTGTGTCTTGTGAGTGTGGTGGTGGTGGTTGTAGTGTGTATTGTGAGTGTGGTGGTCGTTGTTGTAGTGTGTATTGTGAGTGTGGTGGTGGTTGTAGTGTGTATTGTGAGTGTGGTGGTCGTTGTTGTTGTAGTGTGTCTTGTGAGTGTGGTGGTGGTGGTTGTAGTGTGTATTGTGAGTGTGGTGGTGGTTGTTGTAGTGTGTCTTGTGAGTGTGGTGGTGGTTGTTGTAGTGTGTCTTGTGAGTGTGGTGGTGGTGGTTGTAGTGTGTATTGTGAGTGTGGTGGTCGTTGTTGTAGTGTGTCTTGTGAGTGTGGTGGTGGTGGTTGTAGTGTGTCTTGTGAGTGTGGTGGTTGTAGTGTGTATTGTGAGTGTGGTGGTGGTTGTTGTAGTGTGTCTTGTGAGTGTGGTGGTGGTTGTAGTGTGTCTTGTGAGTGTGGTGGTGGTGGTTGTAGTGTGTATTGTGAGTGTGGTGGTGGTTGTAGTGTGTCTTGTGAGTGTGGTGGTGGTTGTATTGTGAGTGTGGTGGTGGTTGTTGTAGTGTGTATTGTGAGTGTGGTGGTGGTGGTTGTTGTAGTGTGTATTGTGAGGGTGGTGGTGGTTGTTGTAGTGTGAGTGTGGTGGTGGTTGTTGTATTGTGAGTGTGGTGGTGGTTGTAGTGTGTATTGTGAGTGTGGTGGTGGTTGTAGTGTGTATTGTGAGTGTGGTGGTGGTTGTTGTATTGTGAGTGGTGGTGGTTGTAGTGTGTATTGTGAGTGTGGTGGTGGTTGTTGTAGTGTGTATTGTGAGTGTGGTGGTGGTGGTTGTTGTAGTGTGTATTGTGAGTGTGGTGGTGGTGGTTGTTGTATTGTGAGTGGTGGTGGTTGTAGTGTGTATTGTGAGTGTGGTGGTGGTTGTTGTTGTATTGTGAGTGTGGTGGTGGTGGTTGTTGTAGTGTGTATTGTGAGTGTGGTAGTGGTGGTTGCTGTATTGTGAGTGTGGTGGTGGTGGTTGCTGTATTGTGAGTGTGGTAGTGGTGGTTGCTGTATTGTGAGTGTGGTGGTGGTTGTTGTTGTATTGTGAGTGGTGGTGGTTGTAGTGTGTATTGTGAGTGTGGTGGTGGTTGTAGTGTGTATTGTGAGTGGTGGTGGTTGTAGTGTGTATTGTGAGTGTGGTGGTGGTTGTTGTAGTGTGTATTGTGAGTGTGGTGGTGGTTGTTGTATTGTGAGTGGTGGTGGTTGTAGTGTGTATTGTGAGTGTGGTGGTGGTTGTAGTGTGTATTGTGAGTGTGGTGGTGGTGGTTGTTGTAGTGTGTATTGTGAGTGTGGTGGTGGTGGTTGTTGTAGTGTGTATTGTGAGTGTGGTGGTGGTGGTTGCTGTATTGTGAGTGTGGTGGTGGTGGTGGTTGTTGTATTGTGAGTGTGGTGGTGGTTGTAGTGTGTCTTGTGAGTGTGGTGGTGGTGGTTGTTGTAGTGTGTATTGTGAGTGTGGTGGTGGTGGTTGCTGTATTGTGAGTGTGGTGGTGGTGGTGGTTGTTGTATTGTGAGTGTGCGGCTGTGTGTGGACAGGTGTTGACCGACACGAGGGTCGTGGTTCTGCACAAGGAGGAGGGGGCGGGGCTGGGCTTCAGCATCGCCGGGGGCCACGACATGGAGACCAAACTGATCACTGTGAGCACACACACACCACACACACGCGCACACATGCACGTACACACACATACGTACGCACACACGCACACTCGCACACGCACACTCGCACACACACAACAACAACCGCCATTCGCCACTAAGTGGCGGTGACGTCACCACGACGCTTGTGCCAGGCCATGTGCACTTTGAGGCCACGTGAAGTGTCAAACGCCCGCTGGCAGGAGCTCACGGGGCAGACCCAGGTGCCACGGGTCGACTGACTGAGATGACCGAGATGACTGGCTGATGCACCACCTGTGCTCCCTACTGTGCCAACTTGCTGTGCTTTAGCCACCCGGCGCTCCGCTCGTTGTTGTGAGCGTCACTCCTCCGCCCTCCGTTGTTGTTGGAGGGCGACTGCCTCCAACTGCCCAGTAGCGTCCTTCACGAGCCTCCTCCGCAGAGGCCGTTCTTGACACCGCTGGTACCAGTCATCGGCAAGTCCACTCAGCTCCACGTCCTCCTGTACCACATCACTCCATCTCTTCTCTAGCCCGTGCCGCACCCGTTTAGCCCCCTCGATCTAGCCGAACAAAAGCTGTTTAGGCATGCGGTGGCTGGGCATGCGGGCTACATGACCCAGCCAACGCAGCCTTGCCTGCCGGAGCTCACCGATGGGACTTTGCCCAGATGTTTCAAGGATTTGTGAGCTCCTCACACAATCCAGCCTGGTTAAACCCAGGATGGGTCGTAGGCAGGCCAACCTAAATGTTTCTAACCGGCGAAGATGCTCCATTAGGGGGGTCCACGTTTTGCAAGCGTAGAGAGGGGAGGGAATGACTGTGGCCGAGAAGACCTGAAGCTTCGTGCGGAGCGACAGACCAGGTAGCTTCCACACAGCGTTACGCAACACGATGAAAAGATATTGCCGCTCGACTGATTCAGAGTGAGACCTCTGCTGTTAAACTGGAGCCGGTCATAAGCACACTGCCCAGGTATGGGAAACTCTCCACTCTCTCCACAACTGCCCCATCACCGATTGGGAGTTGTGGGGGTGGAGTGTCCGATGGTACAAAATACCCAGGCAGGTGCTTAGTTTTGGTGGGGCTGATGGTAAGGCCCCACCTCTTAGTGGCACGCTCCAGTCTCAGCAGCAGCGTCTCCAACTCCTCCTCTGAATGAGCAGCTATTACCAAATCATCGGCATACATAACGTGGTTGACCAATAGGGAGCCATCCCTTGATCGCACCCGGGCATCGATCAGCCTCCCATTGTATCTGTACCAAATGGAAATTCCCCCGGTACAGCTATTGAAGGCTTCACAGACTACGTGGTCAAAATAGATGTTAAATAATGTGGGAGCCAGAGGACATCACTGTCGCACCCCAAGGTGTACAGAGAAAGGCTCCGACTCCCGGCCACGTAGTTTTACCCGGGCCCGCTCACCATCATGAAGGTCCTTAATGATCGTGAGCAGAGGGTCAGGGACTCCGAAAGCACGAAGAACAACCCAGAGCCCAGGCCTACTGATGGTATCATAGGCCTTGACCAGGTCAATTTAAGGAGAGATGTAGGTCTTGTTGGAATTCCCTACACCTCTGCTGTAGCAGGTGGACAGAAAATATGGCATCTGTGCAGGACCGCCCTTTCCTGAAACCGCATTGGGGCTCCGCAAGCCTCTCCTCAGCGTGCCTGGCAAGGCGATGTTGAATAATTCTTGCCAGGACCTTTCCCGGCATACTGAGGAGTGAGATGCCCCTGTAGTTCTTCTTGGTTCTTTCGGTAAAGTCACGTAGAAGGGAAGTAATAAAATAATAAAAATAAAACATAATAAAATAAAATAATTCTCACGACGTTTCGGCTACAACGCAAGCAGCCGTCTTCAGGTGAAGACGGCTGAAGACGGCTGCTTGCGTTGTAGCCGAAACGTCGTGAGAATTATTTTATTTTATTATGTTTTATTTTTATTATTTTATTACTTCCCTTCTACGTGACTTTACCGAAAGAACCAAGAAGATGGATCCCTGCAGTCACGAAAGCTTTACATCGAGCCCCTGTAGTTGTTACAGTCTGTGCGGTCACCATTCTTAAAGGGGACCACCAGGGCATCCTTCCAATCCTACGGAATCCGTCCAGTGGTCGAGACTATTGTTATGATGTCATGTAGGGCAGTCTGTGCACAAACGCCACCCTCCCTCAGCATTTTGCTTGGGAGATCATCTCTGCCCGGTGCCTTTCCTGTTCTAAGACTCTAGATCGCCTTCAGTACTTCCTCAACAGATGGCACCTCAGCCAGCCACTCATAGGGGGTGACTACTTCTTCCAATATTAGAGGCACCGCAGCCTCAGCAGGGTCATCCCCACTTTATCCCACAATGTATTTCCAGGCTGAGGGATTTCCGCTCCCCCAGGACCTCACAGAAATGCTCAGCAAATCTGCAAACCTGTTCCTGGGGGACAGAGATTGGATCACCATTCTTTCCCCTCATGATGGTAATAGGTGTAGTGCTGCAAGTTACTTTTTTGATGAAGTAAAGAGCGACTTGAGATCGCGGGCCACTGAGGCAGATCTCCTCAGCAATCCGTGACCACCACCCATCCTTGCAGCACCTCACGGCTCTCCGAACCTTCGAGCGAAGGCTGTGGTAAGCCTCCTCATTCTCTGACGTGGGATGCTGTAGATAATGAGAGTGGGCCTGTCGCTTTTTCTCAGCCATCCTGAACACCTCTGTCAGCCAGGGTCTCTGGGGTGGTCTGGACCGTGTACCCAAAGCAGCCATTGCAGCTGCATGAGCCACAGTCCTAAACCTTGCCCATTTGCCCTCAACATCAGGAGGAGAGGGCACGATGCTAACCCCAGCTGCAAGTGATGATTAAATTATCGCTTGCAACTTTCATCAGCTAACTGAGACCAGGCCATTTTAGGTTGGAATGGGGTCCTGGGTGTACACCCACCACTGGAGTGGAAGAATGGCAGGCGCATCTTACAGATGACTAGTCGATGGTCAATGGGCAGATCAGCTCCACGGTAGGTCCTGGTGTCAAGGACATGGGCTTGCATCCGCACACGAACACATGCACGCACACACACACGCACACACACACGTTCACACGCACACACGCACACACGCACACACACACGTTCACACGCACGCGCACACACCCACACGCATACACGCACACACGCATACACGCACACACGCACACACGCACACATACACGCACATATACGTACACACGCACACACACAAAGGCAAAGATCCACTGTCTATCCTTAGCAGGCTGTATTGGGGCAAATGCTGCGAGTGAGCACCTCCTCCACCCTCCATTGTTGGAGGGCGACTGCCTCCAACGGGAAGAGCAAAAGAACCCTTGATTAAGCACTGCTCATAGCGGACGTCCCTGTGGCTGGCGCCGTGGATCATTAACGTTCGTGCTGGTGCCGCCCACGACGCCGCAGGTCCACCGCGTGTTCTCCGAGGGTGTGTCTGCGCGGGAGGGCTCCATCCGACGGGGGGACCAGCTTGTGAGCGTGGGGGGCCGCGCCCTGGCCGGCGCTTCGCACGGCGACGCGCTAACGCTGCTGCACGCGGCGCGGCTGCCCCCCTCCGTGGTGGTGATCGTGCGCCGGACCCCGCTCTCGTCGCCGGTGCTTCTGCCGACGGCATCGCCAACGGGAGCACCGGGTTTCAGGCCCGGAGGCCGCAGCGCCGCCGCCGTTGCCAGCGTCATCACGGCAGCACTGTCTGCCGGTGAGCTAGCGCCACGTGCGTGGGAGCGAGAGGGGGGGGGGAGGCGGTGAGCGGCACCGGACGTGAGCTCAATCGAGCGACGCTCACCTGCTCCTTGCTCACGTGACGGTCGGCCTCGTGCCGCCCCTCGCCCTGCTCGCCCCGCTCGCTCACATGCCGCAGCTCACCCACACCTCGATCGCCCTCTTCGCCCACACCCCTCTCACCACCCGCACTTTCTGTGTAGCCCCCCCAGACCCCCAGGGCCACGTCTTCACCGTGACCATAGAGACCGCGACCTCGGGCCTGGGCCTGAGCCTGCAGGGTGGCCGTGGCTCCGTGCTCGGGGACCAGCCAATCACCATCAAGAAAGTCTTCCACGGTAACAGGCCATTGGCGTGCGGGGTCATGCCACCACCGGGCCTGGGCCGTCCGGTGATGTGAGCGAGCGATGACTCGCCCGGGTAGCAATTCCATCACTCGCCCAGTCGGATAGCAAATATCATTCCGCGGTGGTGACATCGCTGCTGTGTGGCCAGTGGTGCACAAGCACAATTAACAATTCCTCAGTGACACAGTACGAGTGTGTGGCCTTCAAAGGAAAAGTCTATCATGGGCCACGTTTCGGGCAATGCAGCTTCTTCGTCAAGCGTGTCGTTAGAGAGGCCAGAGAGAATGAATTATCATTGGGCCCATGGTGTAAACAAGTCTCCAACTCATGTCATCCACTCTCTCTTCTGGCCTCTCCATTGGCCGAAACGTCGCCTATTAAATATTTGTTATTGACACGGAATGCGCTGAGTTGTTTTGTTGGCTGTGCTTGTGCACCAACCACTGCCGACGCAGCGGCGTTTCCATCACCGTTGCGTTGGCTCTGGTGACGGCCTCATCCCGCCGCCACCACCGCCGCCACGCGCGAGTGTGGGCGACGCGCGTCCCCTTCCCTCGTGGGCGTCTCTGCCAATGAATTTCACCGCGGGAGCTTGTGAACGGAATTCCTCCGTGACAACGCTCTTTACAGGAAATGAGTTTCTTTGACAGATTTGTGTTTGTTGCCCCGTGTTTCATTTCTTCTGTCACGCAGTAGTTGTCTCTGCTCTGATTGCTGTTTGGTTCATTGCTTTTGGCATTGTGGTGACCCAGGTCACTCTTGCAAATGAGACTCATCCTGATCTGTTTGAGTTCTCACCTCGATAAACAAAACAAACGTGAAGCCTAAAAAGATGGCACAATGTGCAGCGCGGATCGCAATCATAGCAAACATCACACCACACGCGCACGCGGGGATTAATCGCACCTCTTATTAGCACAGTTGGCTACGTACGGTGCAAAAGAAGTTCAACATCATACAATCTCTCACCGCTATTCATTTTATTGCTGTGACTTTACATTGCTTGTTTTGCTTTCGTGGGCCCAGGCCACTCGTGCAAGTGAGGCTCCTCTATCCTGATCTCCTGACCTCGCACCTGATTACACAACACAAGCTTGAACCTTGACCCCCAGGTGGCGCAGCGGAGACGAGTGGCAAGGTGCGCGAGGGCGACGAGGTGCTGCAGTTCTGCGAGAGGGACCTGCGGGGGATGACGAAGTTCGACGCCTGGAACCTCGTCAAGTCGGCGCCTCCGGGGCCCGTGACGCTCACGCTGCGGAGAGGGGGCGGGGGGGGGCGCGGCTCGGCCTTGAGACGGAGCAGCTCACGCTCCGCACCACATTCCGTGCCAAACCACACCGCGCCGCACCACACGCCTCACCACGCACCTCACCACGCACCTCACCGAACCACACCTCACACACGATACCACATCACTCTGAACCACACCAAACCCACACGCTAAACCACACTGCTCCACGCCACACAAAACCACACCGTGCCACACCTCACACGCCAAACTGCACCACGCCACACCAAATCACACCGCACGAGTCTAACTGGCTCTGCTCCTTGCGCCCTGTTACTGTTCATTCAGCCAGCCGCGCAGCACCCTGCAGTCCTCACTACCCCACCAGCACCCTCCCTTGCCATCATCACCACCGTCGGGCAGCCACCTGTCACGCTGCCTCCACTTTGTGGAGACGACGGCGGCGTGCTGCCCTCTGCTGGGGCTAAAGCTGCCGGCGGCCATTCCTGGCTGCCACTGCCAGGCAGCGACAGTCTCGGCCGGTGTGCGCGTCGCGGTGTGTGCGTCACGGTGTGCGCGTCGCGGTGTGTGCGGCACCGACCGTAGAGGGGCATCGTTTTTTACGGAGCTGCAGGGTCAACGTCGGCCTTGGGACCTTCACTGTCATCGGCAACCTCGTCTCCGTCGAGGGCGGGACCGGTAGCCACCGCGAAGGGTTTCGCGGTGCCGTCGTGGTTTTGGCAGGGCGCTCTGATCGACGTTTTCTCGGGTTGTACCGCTAAGCGTCGTTCGGCACGATGTCCGTCGTTCCGCTCCGCGTGCCAGTCACTTCAGGAAGGAAGTTCAAAAAGGAGTTTGTGAAAAAACTGCCGGCACGCGACAGGCGAATTGTCGGACATCACGCCCGGCAATGCATGGCGGTAGAACCAGAAAGCTCCCCGGAGAGCAGTGACGTTACTCTGCGGAGCGGTGGTGGTGGTGGGGGTGGTGGGGGGGCGCAGGAGTAACAGCGGCCCGTGTGACTCTCACTCGCGACGCACGCTCTTGCCAAAGTGTGATCATTGCCTGGGGGAATGGGAGAAGCCACGGGGGCACTCGGGTGACGAAGGCATTCAGACGGCGATGCGTCGCGTTCAATTGAGAACGATCGTCCTTGTGCAATAAGTCACGGGGGGTGGGGTCGGGTGGGGAGAGTGGTCACTCTCACCGCACGTATTTATGTTCGGTTTTGTTCACGTGCAGAATCAATGGGGCAGGTTGGGCCGCATGGCAGCGGTGGGGGTCCCCGGTGAGGTCGTCCTCCGTTGACCCTTGGGGGGGGGGGGGGGTGTGGAGTGTTTGTGGGGGCAGCTGTCGGTCAGTGATGGGCTATTTGATGGCCCAACCATTGGTGGATTGGGTCACTGCACTAATCAGAATTTTTGCCGGGTCGGCACCACACTCCGGGCCCAAGTGAATCTGTGCGGCGCAACCTCGTACACACGGTAATCACCTCCCCTACTGTCAACAGACTTGCGCCCCAGGTCACTCTGCAATGAGACTCATTCTGGTCTCTTGCGTTCTCACCTGGTTACACAAACCAACCCGAACCGTAACCCACACCCGAGTGAACGACGACGTATGATTTGCGGTTGCTCTCCGATTCCTCTTGGTGCAATTCCTCGTGCGTGCCTGGGCGCCCTGCATCCCGTGTCGAGCGGCCCCACATCCCGTGTTCCGTGTCGAGCGGCCCCACGTCCCGTGTCCCACGTCCCCTGTCCCGTGTTCCATGTCCTGTGTTCCGTGTCGAGCGGGCCGTGCGCTCTGGACCCTTGTGGCACCGCGGGGCGATTCACAGCGGTCCACGCGCATCTCTGTCGCTGCGTCGCTCTGGAGATTTTCACTCGGGAAAATTAGAGTTTTCCAAAAAGCGCTCCAACCCCCTCCTCCTTCGTCCGCCTTTTCAGTTCATCATTTCGACCCCGGTTCCTCCTCTGGCAGCCGCTGCCCTAGGCTCGTGCTCCTCTGGTGTTTTCCAGCTGTGGCCGACCGGCGCTCACCCTCCACGGTGACGAGGAGATGTTATCTCCCTTGTCTGGTGCGCAGGAGGAGGTAGCAGGTTCGATCCGGGACCCCGACGATGCCTGTTGTATATTTGGTGGTCACGAAGATCGTTCTCCGGGTTCCTCCGATTTTGCCCCCCCCACTCTCTACATTTAGAAACACGCGTTTAGATTATTTGGCTGCTCTAGATTATCACGTGTGATAAGCTACTGTGATGAGCTCTCATGCGTGGCCAGCTCACCTCTGAACAAGAGCTCATCGCTTGGTGGGCTTTATCTGGGAAATTAAATAGTTCAGAGTTTATTATAGTTGTATCTTGAGCCAAACATTGCGGCCTCCTTTGCTGCTAAGGCCTTCGGTCGCTCCGTGCTGAACCACATCCACCGCGTGTCGTGACGACCACGTCGTTGAGAAGTCTCCGTGAAGGGTGGTAACACTTTCACCGTTTGTGTTTATGCCAATATCTCCAATACAATGTTCGGAAAAGCACCGAACGTCACTGTGACGTATCTGCCAAAGTTACTGATTGCAATTCGCGCGGCGGTCTCGAGTACCGCCTTGGTCACGTGTGTTTCTATTGACTCAAGTGACCGCGGCCCAGTGGGAGCGCTTTCGACCTGCTTGTTACTGCGCTTCGCGGTGCTGTTTGGGAAGGCCGCCCTCGTTAATCGCGCGGTGTCTGTGTGTTAACCATAAAATACCACGACGCGCCCTCTGCTTCACTCGCAGTGGCCGTTAACGGTCCCGTGACATGATTCGAAACGAGTTGGCTGCCCGTTGTGTGCGATCCAAATTTGAAAAATATCTCCCAACTGAATTCACTCAATTGAAATTCCGCACGGCAACATCGCCCCCTACCGCTAAACTACCGCAGCCTGTGCCTATGAACCGCAGCAGTGTCTTCCTTCGCGCTCTGAGAACGATAGCGCCCGCACCAAATCTACTAACTTATAACGATGATTGCAGGTGGTTGGTCGTACGTAGATGATCGTCAGTGCTATGCATTTCTTGTGGTCAAGATGAATATCTGCGACTGGATCGTGCGGCGAACACTTTGAGCGTCGTGACAGATCGGTGTGGGGATTTGGACGGTGAGCAGCAGGCGGGCTTGGTGAAGCGTCTCGGAATCGCGAGAGGTGGCGGCCGCGGCATTGAGAGGCCTTCATCCAGCAGTGCACAAAACGCAGTTCACTTTGTTGTCCTTCCCTCGCACCTCCGATTAGTACGGTTTCCTATGTGCGGTGCGAAAGTACCGCTGATTGATGTTTATGATGATGTTGACGGTACAAGATGGACCGATTGCCACCTGCAGCCCCCAGGGGATGGCTTTTTGAAAGCGGCTGATGGCAACCTGCCCCTCATAATTTATATTGAGTTTAATCTGTGTTCATTCTATACATCACGGTGATGTCGTTCGTGCGAATCGCGTCTTTCACAATCGTCAAGGAAGAACCACAGACGAGCGGGAAAGCAGCAGCAGCCACGCGCTAAGGATCCAGCACTTCCAACAATCCCCCAAGATCTGCGGTCCTCTGTACATTCAGATGTTTTAAGCCAAATGAATGAGTGTTTAGACACGTGGGAGGATACCAGGGCGCCCAGAGAAAACTAACGCGTGCGAGAGGGCAACACTCTCCCATCATACAGAAGGCACAGATGATAGTCCAAACTTGTACCGCCTTGTGCGGAGCCACGGAAGGGAGTTTCGCTAAATCTGCAGCGCCGCGTTCCAGGCTGCCACGTGCAGCGTAGCGCCCACCACCACCTCCCGGCCCATCCTGTGGGCAGCATCGACTGATTGCAAGCCTGCCGTCACTTTAATTTGACTACAGCAATTATGCAAATTTTGGCTACAAATTACACGTCCCCAGGCGGCCACACCTGATAGCCAACCGGCTGTTTGCAATGATCCCCGTGTGTGTGGGGAATGCCCGCGGTGTTGACATGATCCGCTGTATGCCGCGAGCAGGCTGTCCGCGACCAATGTCGTGTAACGGCGGGGGCAACGTTGGGCCAAGCACATGCAACGTTGGCTCTGACGTTGCATGTTTACTGGGAGGTTTTTTTGAATGTGTTTAGCTAATTTATCCTGAGCCCCACTTTGCTGCCGCCTTTGTTCAGTTCCTCTTGCGTTGCGTCTGCTTGCGTGTGGGGAGGTGAGATAATCTGATGGCCGATGGATTGCCCAGGGGTAGCAGCGAGGTGGATCGCTCCTGCTGCTCCTGCTGCTGCTGCTGGCTCCTGCTGCTGCTGGTTCCTGCTGCTGCTGGCTCCTGCTGCTGCTGGCTCCTGCTGCTGCTGGCTCCTGCTGCTGCTCTGCTGGTTCCTGCTGCTGCTGGCTCCTGCTGCTGCTGGTTCCTGCTGCTGCTGGCTCCTGCTGCTGCTGTCTGCTGCTGCTCCTGCTGCTGCTCCTGCTGCTGCTGCTCCCGCTGCTCCCGCTGCTCCTGCTGCTCCTGCTGCTGCTCCCGCTGCTCTGCACCGGTCACGTGGCTAGGGGACTGGCTCCTCGTCACGTCAGCCTCTCATCAGTCCTCTTGTTGTCCATTGCCACTCGGCTGTTATGGTCGTGGTGCACAAGGGCAACCAACAAAACAACTCGACACATTGCGACTCGCGCTCAGACTTTGTTTCAGCCGGTGATGTCCCATTGAGCAAAGCTGCTCTGCCTCAAGGACGGGCCAAATACCCTCGGCAGTGGCAGCAGCCACAGGATTTTGCATTAATATCGAGACGCATAGAGTTACACACAGAGACCCATATAGTTACACACAGAGACCCATATAGTTACACACAGAGACCCATAGAGTTACACACAGAGACCCATAGAGTTACACACAGAGACCCATAGAGTTACACACAGAGACCCATAGAGTTACACAGAGACCCATAGAGTTACACAGAGACCCATAGAGTTACACAGACTCGTATAATTACACAGATACTCAGAGTTACACAGAGACTCACAGGGTGAGACTGCGGCCCAGAGGCCACGGCCCAAGACCGTCAGCAGCGATGGTAGCTCCAGGACATCGCAGGGTGGATGGAACGCGTCGACTCTGCAGAACAACAAACACATGGTTGACACGAAACCCGCGCCACAACTCACTACAGAGACGAAAGGACTCGGTCACTTACACTGCCATAAACCGACGTATGCGCTGTGAAGAAGGGCACTTGCCCGAAACGTCGACTATTCCTGTAGATGTTTCCTATTGAGTCCGCGCGCGGTATGGAGGTGAATGTGTTGGGGGGGTAGATGTGTGGTTGTCGGTCGCACCGCCCGTGACCCCGCACGCAGTGGCCACAGGCGGCCACTAGGGGGTGATAAACCACAACCTCGGCTCATCCGTTCTCAGACCCTTGTCCGGTTTCTCAAAGCGAGTTAACCGGTAACCCGTTTGCAGTGGGTCGTGAGTGGCGATCGGCAACGCGGGGTCGCGTCCACACGGCGCGTTTCTCAGGTTCATCGGTTGAAGCATCCAAACGTGTCAACGCGTTTAGATTGATCGGCATCTGTGTGTCGCTGCCAATCGGTTTTTACCGGAGCTTTTTTTCCTTTGGTTACCGGTTAATGCAACAACGACCAAGACAAAAATGCCGACGTTCGCGACCCCCTAATGACCACTCGCGGTGTACGTGGCCTGGACTCCGAGTTTTGTTTTCGGTTTTTTATTATATTTTCTTCTGAATTTTGCGGGGAGATGAGCCCCCGCGGGGCGGGTGGCCAGCACCACGCCCGGGGCCGCCTTTGTCTCCCCAGTGCTGATGTTTAAAATAAAATACATCAGCACTGGTCTTAGAGTGGGAATCGAACCCGGATTCGTAGCGCAGTGCGCTAACCACTGCCCCACCGCTCCCAATCACCACCACTCCTGATGTTCGATTGTGCACCGGAGCCCCTGGGATGAGAGAGAGATGCACTGCATTGTTTTATTTAGCCGTGGTCAACACCAGTGATTAATTCACGCATAATGGACACTGCTGTGATTCACTTGCAACGCCACGCTTCAGACTGTAATATATATAACCTCGGAAAACGATGGTAATGATAATTATAATAAAAGATCACACTGCTCCGAGTGAGCCGTCGTGAATCGATCGAGCCGGGTGAGTGAAGGTGGAGCTCTGTCCCACACCAATTTGTAATTTACTCGCCCCCGTCGCACGAATGTGGAATTGCCATCGCCGCTGCCTCGAGGGCTGTAAGCAGGAGGTGAGAACAGCCAATGCCTCCATTGGAGCAGCAAGTCACTGGCCGTGGACTGTTGAGGCCGCATCCCTCACGGAACGAGGGGAGAGGGGAAGGTGGAACGCAGGGAGAGGGGGGGCGAAGCGGTGTGGGGGGAGCGAGCACGGCGGCTGTGGAGACGACGGCGGCTGTGGAGACGACGCCGTCGCCAGGAGGAGAGAGTCGGAGGGGGGGGGAGGGGAGGGGGGGGGAGGGAGGGGGGGGGAGGGAGGGGGGGGGAGGGAGGGGGGGGGGAGGGAGGGGGGGGGAGGGAGGGGGGGGGGGAGGGAGGGGGGGGGAGGGAGGGGGGGGGGGAGGGAGGGAGGGGGGGAGGGAGGGAGGGGGGGGAGGAGGGGGGGGGGAGGGGGGAGAGTGAGGAGAGGGGGCAGCAGAGAGAGTGTGTGGAGAGAGGAGGGAGAGAGAGTGTGTGGAGAGGGGGGGGGCAGGGAGAGAGTGTGTAGAGAGGGGTGGGGGGGAGAGTGAGGAGGGAGCAGGGAGAGAGTGTGTGGAGAGAGGAGGGAGAGAGTGAGGAGGGAGCAGGGAGGAGAGTGTGGGAGAGGGGGGGGGAGAGAGTGAGGAGGGAGCAGGGAGAGAGTGTGTGGAGAGTGGGGGGAGCAGGGAGAGAGTGTGTAGAGAGGGGGGGGAGAGAGTGAGGAGGGAGCAGGGAGAGAGTTGTGTAGAGAGTGAGGAGGGAGCAGGAGAGAGAGTGTGTAGAGAGGGGGGGGAGAGAGTGAGGAGGGAGCAGGGAGAGAGTGTGTGGAGAGGGGGAGAGAGTGAGGAGGGAGCAGGGAGAGAGTGTGTGGAGAGTGGGGGGAGCAGGGAGAGAGTGTGTAGAGAGAGGAGGGAGAGAGTGAGGAGGGAGCAGGGAGAGAGTGTGTAGAGAGAGGAGGGAGAGAGTGAGGAGGGAGCAGGGAGAGAGTGTGTGGAGAGGGGGGGGGAGAGAGTGAGGAGGGAGCAGGGAGAGAGTGTGTGGAGAGGGGAGGAGAGTGAGGAGGGAGCAGGGAGAGAGTGTGTAGAGAGGGGGGGGGGAGAGAGTGTTGTAGAGAGAGGAGGGAGCAGGGAGAGAGTGTGTGGAGAGGGGGGGGAGATAGTGAGGAGGGAGCAGGGAGAGAGTGTGTGGAGAGGGGGGGGGAGAGTGAGGAGGGAGCAGGGAGGAGAGTGAGGAGGGAGCAGGGAGAGAGTGTGGGAGAGGAGGGGAGAGAGTGAGGAGGGAGCAGGGAGAGAGTGTGTGGAGAGGAGGGGAGAGAGTGAGGAGGGAGCAGGAGAGAGTGTGTAGAGAGGGGGGGGGGAGAGAGTGAGGAGGGAGCAGGGAGAGAGTGTGTGGAGAGGAGGGAGAGAGTGAGGAGGGAGCAGGGAGAGAGTGAGGAGGGAGCAGGGAGAGAGGTTGTGGAGAGGGGGGGGGAGAGAGTGAGGAGGGAGCAGGGAGAGAGTGTGTGGAGAGAGGAGGGAGCAGGGAGAGAGTGTGTGGAGAGGAGGGAGAGAGTGAGGAGGGAGCAGGGAGAGAGTGAGGAGGGAGCAGGGAGAGAGTGTGTGGAGAGGGGGGAGAGAGTGAGGAGGGAGCAGGGAGAGAGTGTGTGGAGGAGGGGGGGGGAGAGTGAGGAGGGAGCAGGGAGAGAGTGTGTGGAGAGGGGGAGTGTGTGGAGAGGGGGGGGGAGAGTGAGGAGGGAGCAGGGAGAGAGTGTGTAGAGAGGGGGGGGAGAGAGTGAGGAGGGAGCAGGGAGAGAGTGTGTAGAGAGAGGAGGAGAGAGTGTGTGGAGAGGGGGGGGAGAGAGTGAGGAGGGAGCAGGGAGAGAGTGTGTGGAGAGGGGGGGGGAGGAGAGTGTGTGGAGAGGGGGGGGGAGAGGTGAGGAGGGAGCAGGGAGAGAGTGTGTGGAGAGAGGAGGGAGCAGGGAGAGAGTGTGTGGAGAGGGGGGGGGAGAGAGTGAGGAGGGAGCAGGAGAGAGTGTGTGGAGAGGGGGGGAGAGTGAGGAGGGAGCAGGAGAGAGAGTGTGTGGAGAGGGGGGGGAGTGTGAGGAGGAGCAGGGAGAGAGTGTGTAGAGAGGGGGGGGGGCGGAGAGTGAGAAAGAGCAGGGAGCGAGTGTGTAGAGAGAGGAGGGAGAGAGTGAGGATGGGAGCAGGGAGAGAGTGGTGGAGAGGGGGGGGGAGAGAGTGAGGAGGGAGCAGGGAGAGAGTGAGGAGGGAGCAGGGAGAGAATGTGTGGAGAGGAGGGAGAGAGTGAGGAGGGAGCAGGTGAGAGGTGTGTGGAGAGGAGGGAGAGAGTGAGGAGGGAGCAGGGAGAGAGTGAGGAGGGAGCAGGCGAGAGTGTGTGGAGAGGGGGGGGAGAGTGAGGAGGGAGCAGGATGAGAGTGAGGAGGGAGCAGGGAGAGAATGTGTGGAGAGGAGGGAGAGGAGTGAGGAGGGAGCAGGGAGAGAGTGCTGTGGAGAGGAGGGAGAGAGTGAGGAGGGAGCAGGGAGAGAGTGTGTAGAGAGGGGGGGAGGAGAGAGTGAGGAGGGAAGCAGGGAGAGAGTGTGTGGAGAGGAGGGAGAGAGTGGGGGAGCAGGGAGAGAGTGTGTGGAGAGGGGGGGGAGGAGTGAGGAGGGAGCTGGGAGAGAGTGTGTGGAGAGGGGGGGAGAGAGTGAGGATGGGAGCAGGGAGAGAGTGTGTGGAGAGGAGGGAGAGAGTGAGGAGGGAGCAGGGAGAGAGTGAGGAGGGAGCAGGGAGAGAGAGTGTGTGGAGAGGGGGGGGAGAGTAGTGAGGAGGGAGCAGGGAGAGAGTGAGGAGGGAGCAGGGAGAGAGTGTGTAGAGAGGGGGGGAGAGAGAGAGTGAGGAGGGAGCAGGGAGAGAGTGTGTGGAGAGGAGGGAGAGAGTGAGGAGGGAGCAGGGAGAGAGTGTGTGGAGAGGGGGGGGAGAGAGTGAGGAGGGAGCAGGGAGACAGTGTGTGGAGAGAGGAGGGAGCAGGGAGAGAGTGTGTGGAGAGGGGGGGAGAGAGTGAGGAGGGAGCAGGGAGACAGTGTGTGGAGAGAGGAGGGAGCAGGGAGAGAGTGTGTGGAGAGGGGGGGAGAGAGTGAGGAGGGAGCAGGGAGAGAGTGAGGAGGGAGCAGGGAGAGAGTGTGTGGAGAGGAGGGAGATAGTGTGTGGAGAGGAGGGAGAGAGTGAGGAGGGAGCAGGGAGAGAGTGTGTGGAGAGGGGGGGGAGAGAGTGAGGAGGGAGCAGGGAGAGAGTGTGTGGAGAGGAGGGAGAGAGTGAGGAGGGAGCAGGGAGAGAGTGTGTGGAGAGGGGGGGGAGAGAGCGGCAGAGTCGCCGCTCCCCGTTTCCCCTCTCAGTCTCTCACGCGGAAACGGCAACAGCAGCAGCATCCGCCCCGCGCCCCTCTCCGCCTTCTTCATGCTCTCCCATGCGCGCGGCCCGCTGTGAGGCCACGGCGAGCAGCAGCAGCAGCAGGAGGAGGAGGCAGGAGCAGCAGGAGGAGGAGGCAGGAGCAGCAGGAGGAGGTGGTGGTGGTGGCACCACGACGAGGAGGTGAGCAGACGGGAGAGGACGCGGCGGAGAGACGAGAGGGGCCGGATAAGGAGGGACGAGAGGAGGCGACAGGCAGGACGAGCAGAGTGGAGAGAGACGAGGTGAGGGGACTTGAGGCGATTAGGGGACGAGGCTAGGAGAGGGGAGAGGGGATGTGTCGAGGTGGGGAGAGATGAGAGAGGCGATGGTGACAAGCGCCGCCCGTTATTTACAATGGGCGCGGTGTGGGGGGACGCCGCGGCCTAGGCCTAGTGCGAGGCCTCGCGTTGCCTGGGGACGCTGCGGGGATGGAGGCGCCTCTCGCCGGCCGAGAGGCTTCGTCCCAGCCCCCGCCCCCCTCGAGAAGCAACACGAATAGAGGCGAGCACTCCATCCAGCAGTGGAGTGGTCGTGGCCGCCGGTTACGACGAGAAGGGGATGCTCTGCTTCGGGCCGGATTCGCTTTAAAGTGAGAAATATAAGGTTCGTACTCGCTGGTGGGGGTGGACGTCTACGGAGGAGACGGAGCGATGGATTCGGATCGTGTGCGCGACTCCCTGTGTGGATTACTAGCGACGGTACGCGGTCGGGTCGCGAGACGTGGATGTGGCCCGGGCTTCATCCAGCGGTGGATGGTCCAGCTGCTGCTGGACGATGGGAACTGGAGTCGGGTGACGCCTTCTGGTAGCGGCGCCCGAGACTTAACGGAGCAGGAGGAGGATCGGGGGACCCCCTTTAGGGGTCTCGTGATCCCGTCCAGGGCTCTGGTGACTCTGAAAGCATGACAGTGGTCCTGTGGAAGGGTTAGGGGTCCCGTCCAGGGGGTCCAGCGATCCCGCTTAGGGGAGTTTAGCGATTCTGTTCATGGTGATTGCGGTCGTGAGTCGGGGTCGAGCGGTCTTGTTTAGGGGTCCAGTTTTCCTGTTTAGGGAATCGGACAGGGATCAGCCCCTGTGCGTGTGGCGTTTGTAGTGTTTGTGACTGCGCTTGGAATGTCCACCGCTCCCATAATTACCGCTAATTTGGCTGTGGGCCGGGGTTCGTTTGGAGGAGCTGTGCGGGCGGCCTGACCCGGTCCCATCATCGTATCCTGGACTCAATCAGAGGTTTGCAGACCCTGAGATGTCCCTGCACAACCAGCCGCGTGCTGACCTGGTGCAACCCTCACCCAGTACAACCCTCACCCAGTACAACCCTCACCCAGTACACCCTCACCCAGTACAACCCTCACCCAGTACAACCCCCACCCAGACAGCCCTCACCCAGTACAACCCTCACCCAGACAGCCCTCACCCAGTACAACCCTCACCCAGACAGCCCTCACCCAGTACAACCCTCACCCAGTACAACCCTCACCCAGTACAACCCTCACCCAGTACAACCCTCACCCAGTACAACCCTCACCCAGACAGCCCTCACCCAGTACAACCCTCACCCAGACAGCCCTCACCCAGTACAACCCTCACCCAGTACACCCTCACCCAGTACAACCCTCACCCAGTACAACCCTCACCCAGTACAACCCTCACCCAGACAGCCCTCACCCAATACAACCCTCAGCTCTCATTACCCGAGCCCTCCCTGCCTTACCTAACCACACCCTACCCAACACAACTACACCTTAACCAATCACACCCTACCCAACCACTCCCTACTCTACCACATCCTACTCAACCAGATCCTACTCAACTACATCCTACCCAACCACTCCCAACTCTACCACACCCTACTCAACCACTCCCTACTCAACACAACTACACCTTACCCAATCACACCCTACTCAACCACTCTCTACTCTACCGCATCCTACTCAACCACTCCCTACTCAACCACTCCCTACCCAACCACTCCCTACTCAACCACTCCCTACTCAACCACTCCCTACTCAACCACTCCCTACTCAACCACTCCCTACTCAACCACATCCTACTCAACCACATCCTACTCAACCACTCTCTACCCAACCACTTTCTACCCAACCACTCCCTACCCAACCACTCCCTACTCAACCACTCCCTACTCAACCACTCCCTACTCAACCACTCCCTACCCAACCACTCCCTACCCAACCACTCTCTACTCAACCACTCCCTACTCAACCACTCCCTACTCAACCACTCCCTACCCAACCACTCCCTACCCAACCACTCCCTACCCAACCACTCCCTACTCAACCACTCCCTACCCAACCACTCCCTACTCAACCACTCCCTACTCAACCACTTCCTACTCAACCACTCCCTATCCAAACACCCCCTACCCAACCACTCCCTACTCAACCACTCCCTACTCAACCACTTCCTACCCAACCACTCTCTACCCAACCACTCCCTACTCAACCACTCCCTACTCAACCACTCCCTACCCAACCACTCCCTACCCAACCACTCTCTACCCAACTACTCCCTACTCAACCACTCCCTACCCAACCACTCCCTACCCAACCACTCTCTACCCAACCACTCCCTACTCAACCACTCCCTACCCAACCACTCTCTACCCAACCACTCCCTACTCAACCACTCCCTACTCAACCACTCCCTACTCAACCACTCCCTACCCAACCACTCCCTACCCAACCACTCCCTACTCAACCACTCCCTACGCAACCACTCCCTACTCAACCACTCCCTACCCAACCACTCCCTACCCAACCACTCCCTACCCAACCACTCTCTACCCAACCACTCCCTACTCAACCACTCCCTACTCAACCACTCCCTACTCAACCACTCCCTACTCAACCACTCTCTATCGAACAACACCCTACCCGACCTGGCCCTATGCTGACCCACGCACACCAGCCCATACCTCAACTCCACCTGGGCCTACTATAAGGCTGGCGTCTGTTCCACAAACCAACCCCGAATATGATTCTCAGTCAGCACTTGGTCTATTATCAAAACTGCGCAATAAACTGTTAATACAGTTCAACACAAGACTGGTGGTAGCAGATCTCGATGCAAATCCGTTCCTGCCACCAGAATACAGGAGTCACTTCCCAGACAGGTGGAAAACCTTTCTTGCAATCATCCCCCACCCAGGCCAGTCCTCAATAATAACCCACCTTCATCTCGCCCTCACTCTTAACTAAACTCGAAGCCAACTGGCCAACCTTACTCTACCTGATCCTACATACCTCTTCTGCACCATGCCCTAACCTTTTCAAACCTGCTCCGTTCCTCCCTTCACTGCCCTACCAGACGTGATCTGACTCTTTGCGGTTAGCTCCCGTTCTACTCTTGTCTGCATATAATAGGATGAGATGGCCCCTGTCAGCCCCAGTGTTTACTCGCAGAGCAATAACATGGGACTGATTAATTCTGGTTGGGATACAGACCGCACCACTGCTCTGTCCTGCCCGAACACGAGCTCCGAATTCGGTGGTCAGCAACCTGCGGCTCCGAAGCCGCATGCGGCTCTTTAAGGACTGCTTCGTGACGTTATTTATAAAGGGCCGCCGTCCCGTATTCACGTTGCATTGCGGCTCTTGAAATACTGAGTTTTTTACCGAATTAGAAAAAGAGGGCACTTCTTGTTATTTTGATTTCTGACTCCTGCCTTAACTCCACTCGCCTCGATCACAACCCTGCCCCAGCTGGGACTAAGCCTGCCCAGGGGCAAGTCCCTGCTGTTGATATCCCTGAGAGAGAGATTGACAGATGCTGCTATCTTCTGCAAAAGTAGACAATCAAGAATAGCCCAGAGTGCGGCTGCTGTCACCAATCTCAAACCGTGGACCACAATGTAACACCACTGCTCACTTTCAACGTTTAAGTCTATGGATCTCTATTTGAGCCAGTGTATCGCTCAAACCATGGACCACAATGTAACACCACTGCTCACTTTCAACGTTTAAGTCTATGGATCTCTATTTGAGCCAGTGTATCGCTCAAACCATGGACCACAATGTAACACCACTGCTCACTTTCAACGTTTAAGTCTTTGGATCTCTATTTGAGCCAGTGTATCGCTCAAACCATGGACCACAAAGTAACACCGCTGCTCACTTTCAACGTTTAAGTCTATGGATCTCTATTTGAGCCAGTGTATCGCTCAAACCATGGACCACAATGTAACACCACTGCTCACTTTCAACGTTTAAGTCTATGGATCTCTATTTGAGCCAGTGTATCGCTCAAACCATGGACCACAATGTAACACCACTGCTCACTTTCAACGTTTAAGTCTATGGATCTCTATTTGAGCCAGTGTATCGCTCAAACCATGGACCACAAAGTAACACCGCTGCTCACTTTCAACGTTTAAGTCTATGGATCTCTATTTGAGCCAGTGTATCGCTCAAACCATGGACCACAATGTAACACCGCTGCTCACTTTCAACGTTTAAGTCTATGGATCTCTATTTGAGCCAGTGTATCGCTCAAACCATGGACCACAAAGTAACACCGCTGCTCACTTTCAACGTTTAAGTCTATGGATCTCTATTTGAGCCAGTGTATCGCTCAAACCATGGACCACAATGTAACACCGCTGCTCACTTTCAACGTTTAAGTCTATGGATCTCTATTTGAGCCAGTGTATCGCTCAAACCATGGACCACAATGTAACACCACTGCTCACTTTCAACGTTTAAGTCTATGGATCTCTATTTGAGCCAGTGTATCGCTCAAACCATGGACCACAATGTAACACCACTGCTCACTTTCAACGTTTAAGTCTATGGATCTCTATTTGAGCCAGTGTATCGCTCAAACCATGGACCACAAAGTAACACCGCTGCTCACTTTCAACGTTTAAGTCTATGGATCTCTATTTGAGCCAGTGTATCGCTCAAACCATGGACCACAATGTAACACCGCTGCTCACTTTCAACGTTTAAGTCTATGGATCTCTATTTGAGCCAGTGTATCGCTCAAACCATGGACCACAAAGTAACACCGCTGCTCACTTTCAACGTTTAAGTCTATGGATCTCTATTTGAGCCAGTGTATCGCTCAAACCATGGACCACAATGTAACACCGCTGCTCACTTTCAACGTTTAAGTCTATGGATCTCT